TGTGTGATGGGAAAGTGATGGCACTCTCATGATGTACCTTCCCTGGCCTTGGATGATACCTGGGACACATCTGCAGGAAGGGGTTTGGGCTCCTGGGTCAGCTGGGTGATGATTCTGGCCTTGTCCAGGTGGTCCTCTTCCTCTATGATGGGTGTCTCGAGCCCGGAGTTTACAACTGGGGCGTAGGGGGAATGCCCTGCCCTGCCCCCCAGGATGCAGTCATGGTCTTTAAAATAAGGCAGCTGTGAGTCTCTACCCCAGAGTGGGAGTTGCCCTCCCTGACATATGCCTGGCGGAGCTCTTTGACTTTCATCCGCACCCACACTAGAGTGCGGATGTATCCTTTTGTGCCTAGGCTGTCGGCCATCCAGCCATAGACATCCACATTCCTGGTCTGGTGCAGCGATCCTGGAGGTTGGTCTCATCACCCCAAACCTCAGTAAGGTCCAGGATCTCTGCACCAGACCAGGAAGGCACACATCTTTTTCAGCCCCTGGCAGGCTCCTGGGAACTCTGACTGCTCCTTGCAAGCAATGGAGCACTGGTTGGGAGCAGCAGACTGGCTCATTTTGGGGAGGAAAAGCAAGGCAAGTGCAGCTTGCAGGGTGGCTCAGGGCTGTCAGGCTTCCTGGTAGCCACAAACCCTTTCTGCAGAGGCTGCAGCTTTTAGAGCTCTCGGGGAAAGGGGGGCACGAATAGAATGTTGCTGAGTGTAGACAGAAAGGCCAGCAGGGCATCTTAGGGAAGGGCTGGAGGCCCCCTATTTTGAAATAGCAGCTATTCCCTGTCTACACAGCCCCTATTCTGAAATATCTGTTTCAGAATAAGTGTTGTTCTTTGTAGAATAAGCCGTCTGCTATTTCGAAATTATTTTGCAATAGCGGAATTGCTCGCATAGTTATTTCAGAATAACGGCCATTATTCTCAAATAACTTTGCTGAATAGACACCCCCACTCAATCCTGGTAGCTCCTTTACTCTTGGATACAGGGTAGCAGTGGAAATTAGCTTGTCCTTTCTGTTTGAAAAATAGTGTAACGCACACAGCTTACAATAAAGTAATATACATGTAGTTGATGAGTGATGTTTAGGTTTGTAATTCGAGGATGTTTCCTTGGTCTGAAAATAAAACAACTTAGAGTGAAGTATAAACTTTCTTCATAAAGTTTCAGTAGAGGAAACAATTTCCAGACATGCTTCCTATGTCAAAAATATCGCTGTGACTATATCAGTTCCCTTTACATCAATCATATGAGGGATACAATGCACAGTATGTAAGACTGACACCATAGGCAAATGGTGAGAGGAGCTGGGGCTGCTAGTTATAGAAGAAACTGCCCATGATGTGGTGAAGCCTCTGTGCCTCTAGATCAGGGGTGTCCAAACTTTTTTCAAAGAGGGCCAGATTTGATGAAGTGAACATGCGTGAAGGCCGACCATTTTGCCTGACATTCTTTGAACCATTAAAATTAAATGCAAATTAACTATTTTATGCAAAGTTTATTGCAAACGGCATACTTTTCATTTCGTCACATGGATGACAAATCTAAACAGGTGTTAAATCACTCTGCCTTTCATATCTGAAGGCCAGATGAAAAAAAAATCCAGGAAGCTGAAATATATGTCAGGAACATTGTAAAGTACATTACATATTATTGGTAATAAAGGTTGTCTGTCAACTTTTTAAGTTCAAAAAATATGAACAGGAACATAACACCAAGTATACATGTTGTGTCCAAATATATTTATAACTGATTTAGACCATCTGACATTAACTGAGATTTTACAGTGTATTCATCTCAATACATATGGATTCGTTGGGGGCCATAAAAGATAGATATTGCCAAATTACCTGTGGGGCCGTATTAAACCGAAACACGGGCCGCAATTGGCCCGCAGGCCGGACTTTGGACATGCCTGCACTAGATTGTGCTTGATCCTGGAGAGCAGAAACTATTGTTCCTGCTTTCCAGGATTTGACTAAACATCAAGGCTACGTCTACACTGGCCCCTTTTCCGGAAGGGGCATGTAAATTTCACGAGTCGTCGTAGGGAAATCCGCGGGGGATTTAAATATCCCCCGCGGCATTTAAATAAAAATGTCCGCCGCTTTTTTCCGGCTTTTAAAAAAGCCGGAAAAGAGCGTCTAGACTGGCCCCGATCCTCCGGAAAAAGTGCCCTTTTCCGGAGGCTCTTATTCCTACTTCGAAGTAGGAATAAGAGCCTCCGGAAAAGGGCACTTTTTCCGGAGGATCGGGGCCAGTCTAGACGCTCTTTTCCGGCTTTTTTAAAAGCCGGAAAAAAGCGGCGGACATTTTTATTTAAATGCCGCGGGGGATATTTAAATCCCCCGCGGATTTCCCTACGACGACTCGTGAAATTTACATGCCCCTTCCGGAAAAGGGGCCAGTGTAGACGTAGCCCAACTGAATAAAAGCCAGTCTTACAGATCTGTGTCCTCCCTGACAAAGGATCCCTTGGTGTGGTAATGGAAAGGAAGTTTTTTGGACTGGAGCCCTTGCTGTTGAGCCATGAAGTGTGCCCCCAATAGGAATGTTCCCCACACAGATGGGTTGTGGCACTGCTTCTTGACCCAGTTTGAGGTAACCTAGCATTCAGCATTTCAGCCATTCTGTCTCTGCCTGAAGATAGATCTGGTTTTCCCAACGCAGCACGTGCCCAACATCCCAAACCCAGTTGGTTTTGCTCTTCTTGGACTGGAGTCTAGATGTGCATCTGGATTAAGAAACCTGTGATCCATGAGCCGTGGGCAGCACCTAGCAGACGAGGCCTGTGACTTAATTTCGCCCTGGCACAGGAAAAGCTAGCTTCCTTTGCTCCTAGTCACATTGCTCAGTGCAGTTCTGTATGCATTATTCATAATCATCTGATCCAGAAGAAGCTGGAAATTGCTCTTTGGCACAAAATGCATTTTCCATTTGTGGAGGAGTGGTGCGGAACCTCGATTAGGGTATGAAAAGCTGCTGCTTCAACTATTCACAGCTGTAAATATGAAGTGTAGCCTTTGAAGAAATCTGAGGGTGAATTCTGCATTTCAATTTATTTAATAGCAGAAGTAATCTTGTTGCTTTCTCGTAGATGCTACTGAATTTACTGTTGTTTCTTCCTGTTAAAAATCATGACTTCTTTGCTTGATCCAGTATAATTTGCTGTAACCCAAGAACCCCTTAATGCCAGCTGGCTAGGGAGTTACAGGAATACACTGATTTTGATATATGTACCGGAGAGAGAGAGGGTAACCTGGAAATTTTGTGTCTAGAGAGCATGTTATAATTTTGTTTTATGTGTAACCATTTGTTTCCAATATACTGATTCACTATGTCCTGAATCTCTGGGCTTTGATGATGCACTTATTCTTGTATTCCCATAAATATAGCTTAGTGTGGTGGCTTTAAGCGCTAGTCTTGAGCTGAATCTAAAAGCTGGCGTTTATACTGTTTCTTTGGAAACAGGAAGCCTGGTAGTTCTGTGAGTAGCCAATGTCAGTCTGGATATCACAAGGGAATACTTCAAAGGGATATTGGGTATGTCTATTGTTAACCTGCAAGGCAAAGGAAGGACTGGCATTGCCTGGAAGAATGTGCTTGAGGGTCGACAGGCTGGTGGTGTTAGTGAGCTAGTACCAGGCTGAGCACAAGCTAGACTCCTTCGGGGGTGGCAGGAGGTGACAAAGTGACTCATCTGTCCTGGGAACCCCAAGAACCATCACATCTGTCTTTCAAAGTGACTGCTTCCCAAGTCAGTACTGAGGCACTGTGTTTTTCCTTAGGAAACTCAAATAATAAAAAAGTGTGTGTAATTACTTTCCATTGACCATCTTCTGTTGACAATAGTGAAACAAGTCCAGCTACTCACAGCAAAGTTCCTTCTTGGTTGGCCACATACATGCAGATTTCTTGGTGTCATTGATTAAAATGTGTATGTGCAACATGAGGAAGTAAACTTGTGTATCTGTTGCTCCAGAAACATAGAGTTCTACCCTAGAGTTTTAGTAAAATATTTCTATTAGCACTTGGCTGGCCCCAGAAGGGGAGTTCTTTAGTCTACTGGTTTTGTTTTGTTTAAGTAATAGGATTTGATACCAAAATACCCTCCTTAACCTAGGTTTTATCCAAGCAACTGGAGAGATTGTGTCATCCATGTGGGATACAGTGCTGCACATTTTCCTCCAGTCATTTCTTATTGTTTTTGTTGTAAATTCTGCCATTTCAGTGAGTTCATTTACAGACATACCAAGTCATCCCAGTGTAGTAGAGAGACTAGTGCAAAGCCCCTCTTGATGGCATCGTAGTGGCTGTTACTCGCAAGATGAGGTGGCATGCTACTTGTAAAGGTCCTGTAGCAGGGGTGGGCAATAATTTTTTTTTGGGGGGGGGGCATTCCAAGAATTTGGTAAATGTTCAGGGGCTGAACTCTTCCATGATATTAATGGATGAGTTGCTGGGTCTGGAATGGAGGTTGGGTGCAGAAGGGAGCTTTGGGTAAGGGACTGGGGTGCAGGAGAGGGTGGCATCTTGGAGGGAGTTTGGGTAAGAAGGGGGTTGTGACCTAGCACAGGGCAGAAGGAGCAGTTCCCTCTAGGCACCCCATGCAGGGGGAGACTTCGTGTGCTCCCCCATGGGGTAGCGGAGCATGGAATGTGTCTCACCGTGCCCCGCCCTGCCTGTTTTGAGCAGCCAGTTCCTGCTGGCACTGCGTGCCCCAGGTGCAGGGCGGAGACTTCGCGTGATCCTCTGCCCCGCAGTGTTGATTGGTCTGGGAGTGTGGGGGGGGCGGCGGAGTGGGCTGCAGGCCGGATCAAATGGTTTGGTGGGCCACATACAGCCCGTGGGTTGCAATCTTGCCCACCCCTGTTCTGGAGTGTGGGGTTAGGGAGCAATTCTGTCCATTACCATTCTTCATTTCACAGCTGTGTACGTGTCTATTCCTGGTTTTTCCATGGGGAGGGGATTGACTTTAATTCTCATGTTTCTTCCACAGGTGGTTTTTTGGGAAGATCCCCCGAGCAAAGGCTGAGGAGGTGTTAGGCAAACAGAGACACGATGGTGCCTTTCTCATCAGGGAGAGTGAGAGTGCTCCTGGGGACTTCTCCCTCTCTGTCAAGTGAGTAATGCTCTGAAGCATCCAGTGTGCAAACTGGATAAAAATACAAACCAGTGTTCCTGTTTTTCACCTCTGACATTTTCCCACAGGGCTAGTACCAGCTCTGCTCTTCCAGGGACAAGTTCCTGTGCTAGGTCTTGTGACAATAAATATGGGTGCTCTATCCTACTAAGAGTTACAGTGCTGAGTTGATGGTAACAAGAGATTGTCCTGTTCTGTGTGAAGCAATGTATTGGTTTGGCGCTTAGCGCAAGGAATGGGACACCATTACTGCATAGATGCTGAAGAATGGGAATATTCATGTACTGTTTTCCCTCTTTCTGCTCTTCTCATTTACTGTTCTGAGGCTCTGATCCTTACCACCTTCTGCTCTTGCTATCTGGCTGGTTGAGGCACATTTCAAATGTGCTGTGTTTCCTAACTGTGGGAGGCACATATTTTGGGAATATCCTTGTTCTCCAACATAGGGATGTGACAGTGTAAAAATGAAGCATACTTCTCATCTCAGTAGATTCCATCTTGGCATTGACGGGAAGATTTAATTTTGGAAATGTAGCTTTGTTGTAAGGAATTATTTAATATTGTTATTTTGGTAGCATCTAGAAATGCTTGTTTAAACTGCTTTAACAGTAGCTCCTGTGTTAGTGGGTGGTGAGTCTAGTATATCTCTTCACAAACTGTGAGAACCCCAAGAGACTGCTGTGAAATACAATGGAAATGTCTAGGACGAGACTCCCTCCTTCTCCTCCACTCAGTCGCATACCCTTTATTGGGCAGAGTTAAGCAAGATATCCTTTGGAACTTAGGTATCATATTTTGATTTATCCAGCTGAAGTTGCTACTGAATACCAAATTTTCCATGATCATCAAAGAATGGTACCTCTACAATGTTTCCAGCCCTTTTCTTCTGTGATTAAATTCTGGACTTCATTATACGGAGCACAGAATTCTGCCATCATGCTGGCCACGGCTTGACAAACGGCAGCAAAAACTGCTCACCAGCCCCGTACTGCGCACGCACAAGACCAACATTGCGCATACGCGCGCTGCCGATGAACCGGGCGCGTGGCTGAAATCTACTTGCGACGGGCGAGTAGATTCTATAGTTTGTCGAGCCCTGATGCTGGCTGGTTTTAGCAGTGCATTTATATTCTTCATTTGACACAGTAATCAGTTAAACTAGAGTACAGTACACACAAGGCTTTATGACCATAAATAAGATGTAAATAGAACCTTCATTCCAGGGAGCTTACTTTACAAAATGAACACATTTATTCTTAACACTGGGGGGAGACCATGGATCATCTCTGCCTGCCTGGTAACTCAGTGTTAGCTCATCTAATGACACAGTTCTCAGTTTTTGAGATTTTTCTGCCGATTAGCTCTTCTGAACGGGCTTACTAAAACTTATTTGCAGGAACTGAAGTGGAAAGAAACTGAGAAAGGGATACTTGAAGCAATAGCCATTGAATACTGCAAATGTGACACTTGCTCATAACAGTAGAGCAGGGCTACTCAACCCACGGCCTGTTTGTTTGCCGCCCATGGTGCGGTTTGGGTTTGTGGGGCTCAACATGCAGCCTGCAGGTGGGCTCCTTTGAACATGGCCTCCACTGGGAACACGCTCCACAATGGCGAGGTGTCTCCCAGGCAGGGTGAGCATTGAAAGACACAAGCGGACAGGCTGGCTGCAACAGACGGGTACAAGATGTCTGCATTTCTGGCCCCCAGGGAGGAGGTGCCAGGAGTGCTGGAGCATTGTGGGAAGTGCTGGATGCTTAGCGTTGTGGGCAGAGCCTGAGAAGTGCTAGCTGGCTCTCACTGGCCATGTTTTGAGTCCAGCACCAGGGCTTACGGCTTAACCTTTGTATTCATGCCCGTCTGAGTGAGAGAAGCGATTTGCATTTATTTGCATCTATTTTTTGCATGTATATGCAACCACACTTAAGTTGAAGCCCTTTGCATCTGCTGTGAGTTTCATTGTGGCCCCTGGGGCTTCCAAAGTTGAGTAGCCCTGCAGTAGAGTGTACCTCTCCAGGTTTTGAAAGACTGTAAACACCAAATGAGAACTTTTCTTGGAGCTATAGAGGGAAAATGTTGTAATTGTGTCTACATATGCCACTCTACTGATAGCCTGTTTGAGTTTCCCCTTCCTTCAGAAGAAAATTGTTAGAAGCAAGAGACAAAGGAGTCTGTTAAATATCAAAACTTTTGTATATTCACATACCAACAGAGTAAGTTAAAGTTGAGTTAAGGATGTTGCTTCTACATACTTTTAATGTGAATCATACATAGGTGCCCCATAGTCACCTGTATTCCTGGGGAGATCATGTGGGATTTTCAGATGCTAAAGGTCCACGTTGTGCTTTCGGCTTCCAAGTTGACATTCTTCCAATTTCTAAGTTACCTATCTTTGTTCAGGCGAGAGAGCAGTCCTTGCTATCTGTTAGGTCTGAGTGTCTTAGCATAGCTATATAGGAGGAGTCTGCATTCCACCTGCCACTCTGTTTATCTCTCCAGACAGTATTTTTATTCCCTCTTTCATGAACATGAAAGTCACAAACTTTGTTTTTTATCGTATTTATACTTTCAAAATATACTCCAGACACCACCTTGGAGATCCCTTTTTCCCTCTGCAAAATATGAGGAAGTGCAAAAGCTGCTTTCCACCAATTCTTAGCCTGTACATATAACAGTGGGTTAGTGATTCTGAAGATACAGAGACATGGAATTCACAGCCATTAAGAAAGGAGCCATTTTATGCGATTTATTCTTGGAATTGGTTTCCATGTCCTGTCATTCTAGGAATTGAGACTCAGTGTGACATGCATGTAATCTCTCTTCTTTCCCTCTCCCACATCCCAGGTTTGGAAATGACGTGCAGCACTTCAAAGTGCTCCGAGATGGGGCTGGCAAGTATTTCCTCTGGGTGGTGAAGTTCAATTCTCTGAACGAGCTGGTAGATTATCACAGATCCACTTCTGTCTCCAGGAACCAGCAGATATTCCTCCGGGACATTGAGCAGGTGCCACAGGTAAGATGGTGGGAGACAGAAGCATTGCCATTGTAACAAAATAGAGAGTTCTTTGTCCACAGTCCAGGGTCTGTAGGGTTGCTTCCATTTTCAATAGGAGGATGTGGAAAGAGAGAAGTTACCTGTTTAACTTCCCCTTCTGACGTAGAATTATTTGATTTCAGAATTAAGGACTCAGAATCGTAACACACTACTTGTACTGAGAAATGAATGCAACCTTTGTGCCCTCTTTTAGGTGGGCTTTGTACCACGATGAAAAACTTGTTAATCCCCTTTTGGTTTTTTTGATCATCCAGTTCTCATCTTTAAGGATGATTTGGGATGATGCCTATCCTTCAGTACATAAACACCATAATGAGTCTGCCTGTTCATTCCCACCAGTAGAAATGGTCATAATCATGTTACATTCCCTTCCTCCTGCTACTTTCATGGGATTTTGATTTCGGTTCGAATTAGTTTTTGGCCAGTAGTGGCCTCAGCAGAACACTGCCCACCCTTAATATCATAATGTGTGCTTGTGAAGAGAAATGCACTGTAGGGCAGGGGTGGGCAAAAGGGCCTCTGCGGGCCAAATCCAGCCTGCAGAAGCCCTGCTACTCCCCCCCATCCCCAGACTAATTAGGGCCTGGGATCAGGGGAAAGCACACCATGTCTTCTCCACCCTGCCAGGAGCACGCGGTGCTTAGAAGCACCACACGTGCTTGGTGGGGGGGGGGGGGGAGGCTTCACTCGTTCCCCAGGCCCCAATTGGCCTAGGGGCTGAAGGGGGAGTGCATGAAGTCTCCTCCCACTGCCAGGGGCTTAGGCTCCTAGGGGGAACTTCTCGTGGAAGAGAGGGGTTAAGGCACTCCCCCACCCCCAGACCAGTCATGGTCTGTGGGTGGGGAAGCAGGGAAGCCCCGCCCCTTCCGTTTGAGGCCCTGCCCCTTCCGGAGCTGCCTGGAGCCACTTGAAAAATTTCTGAAGTGGCTCCCAGCAAAAAATTATTGCCCACCCCTGCTGTAGGGGATGGAACTTCTCTCTGTGAGCTTGCTGGTTTGAATCTAATCCAGACAGGTAATGACCAAAAACTGTGATCTAAGGGAAATTATTGGTTTTAGCTTAGGTCCCAGATGCACCAAACACCATCACATTGGGTAATAATTGGAATCTGTTAGGCTGCACAGGAAGACATCTCACCATTAGATGTGGCCCCTTCAGTCCAGGCTTGAGAGATGCTGGAAAGGCTGAATGGGGGAAATTTAGGGTGTGTCTAAGCTAGTGAATGAAGTAAAAAATTCAAGCCTGAGGAGATGCATCCCTGCTAGCTCTGATTGAGCTAACATGCTAAAAATGGAGGTAAACCTGCAGTGGCACAAGCAGCAGGATCTTGCTGCCCCAAGTATGATCCTGTCTGAGACCGGAGGTATGGACTTTGGGGCATTGAGCCCCTCGCTCACAGCTTGTCCTGCCATGGGTATGCATCCATTTTTATTATGCTAGCACAATCAGAGCTAGTGTGGGTATGTCTTTTCAAGCTGGCATTTACACCTTCCAGTTCTAGTGCAAACATGCCCTTATGCTGCCTTGTCCATGCTGTATCTAGTCCAGTGGTGCCTGCGGGCGCCATGGCGCCCGCCGGGCCATTTCTGTGCAACCGCTGAGTGATCAGGGCTGCCCCCCTCCCCTCGGGCGCGCGGTGCAAGGGCTGTGCCAGCCTCAGGGCATGCGGCGTATGAACGGTGCCAGCCCGGGCGCCCAGCGCAGGGGCGGCACAGGCCCGAGGCGCACAGCACGTGGGCGGTGCATGTGCTGTGCCAGCCCCAGGCACGCGGTGTATGGGCTTCCCCATCCCTGAGTGGCACTGGCCCTGGGTGCGCGGTACATGGGCTGTTCTGGCCCCGGGCGCATGGCATATGGGCGGCCCTGCCCCTACGCGTGAGGCACAGGAGTGGCGCTGGCCCCGGGAGTGTGGTGCATGGGTGGCGCCGGCACTGGGCATGCGGCTATGGGTGGCCCCGCCCCTGGGTGAGTGTGTGGCCCCGCCCCCGGGTGCCCGGCGGGTTAGTGGCCCCGCCCCTGGGCGCCCGCCAGCCCCAAAAGGTTGGGGACCACTGATCTAATCTATAGATAAACAGAAGCTTCAGGGGGTAGCCAAGTTAGTCTGTACAGGATACACTTAAAAAAACAACAAATAGTCTGGTAGCACTTTAAAGATTAACAAAACATGTAGATGGTATCATGAGCTTTCGTGGGCACAGCCCACTTCTTCAGATGACATCTACATGTTTTGTTAGTCTACCAGACTGATATGCAGAAAACAGATTGGATAATGTCTGTCCAATAAAATTGCAATCAACAAAAATAAATGGCAATTAGTAAACTTCAAATGGAGGCCTGTAAAATTTCAGTGTGATCTAACATGTCTTGTTTAGGGAAGAAATGAAGTGTTGTGGTATAAGGTTGGGTTACAAATACTCAGTTAATGTTGTGATCTGTGTGAGACGCAAACTGAGGAAAAATAAAAGCAGCGAAGCTTTTGGGATAGAGAAAGGAAAGGGAGAAAAGAGACAGGGATGCAAAGGTGAAGGGAATATTTACTGGAGATCCAAAAGCATATACAGTATGGGCCTGTGATAAGATGTGGTCACAAAGAGGTGTCTTCCAGTCAAAATGCCCACGAGAATCCACCCTCTAAAATTTTATTGTAACTCATTTTTTAGGTGAATTTGACTATTTCAGAGGCCTCTTGCATTCTAAACTTATCCTTTGAGCATCTTGTCACAATTGACGAAAGAGGCAATTTGCAGAGAAATTAAACAGCCCAAATGTTTTCTAGTGGCTCCTACTGTTGCAGAGCTAGAATGCAGATGGAGATTTGTATGCTGAGAGTGATGTTCTCTCCTGATTTTTTTCCCCCATGCAGCAACCCACATACGTTCAGGCCCTTTTTGATTTTGACCCCCAAGAGGAAGGTGAACTCGGCTTCCGCCGTGGAGACTTTATCCAGGTCCTCGACAATTCTGATCCCAACTGGTGGAAAGGAGCCTGCCATGGACAGACGGGCATGTTTCCACGCAACTACGTGACCCCAGTGAACCGGAACATCTAGAGATAAATATTAGAGATTATTTAAAGAAAACCAGAGAAACAGTAAATACACATACAAAGTCCTAACTACAGCTGGAGATCTAAAATCACAAGATGGTAAAACATGATTCACTTCTTACCACAGTGATCTTCCTTCACTCAGTATGGAACTTTGGGGGTGGGAGGGAGAGTTCAACTTACATGCCAAAATTTACCTTTAAATTAAACAATTAATAGATTTCCTCAGCTGCTCCTGGGTTTGTCCCATTCAATCTCTTCCTCCCCCGCACCCTCCCCCCCCAGCCCCTTCACCTCCTCTGTCCATCAGTGCATGAAGTTTTAATGCCATATAAAGTCCTAGCCATGCTGGAAAAAGGAAAAGGGAGAAACTCTGCTGGTATTTTCTCTCTATGCAAACAGTCTTCATTTGACATGGAAGGACTTGAGAGAAGAACCAAATCTACTGTCCTGCCTTTAAAAAAACAGCTTTTCGCCTTCAGCATTTAGCTCTTTTTGGTTGGGAAAAGATGGTGTTTTCTTTATTTTTCCTTCTCCTTCGCCACTCTCCACTCTGAAGCTGCTGAGCTTCAGAGCAGAGTGCAGGAAACAAGCTTTTTTCCACAGTCAGAGAGCTGCTTTGAGAAAATTCAAACTACAATCAGAGTCTGTTCCCTTTTATTTTCATGACCGCTTTTTTCTTAAAGGTGTAAGGTTGAGCACAGTCTGTAATTTTTTTCCATAGTGCCTTTTCCTTTATTTTCTTATTATTTTTAAGTTAAAAGGACAGTCCAGAGGTTTTTTCTGCATACGTGTAAATATTTTAGGAGGGTAAGGGGGGTAGTTTTATCAATGAATATTAAAAGACATCCACAAAAAAGATGGAGCTTTAATATTTGTCTTACCATCTGACCTTATTTAAAACAAAAAACAAAAAAACAAGGCATACACAGTATTGTAAGTAGCAGCACAGATTGCTCAGAGATGAGGAACTGCAGCCAGGAGCCACAGGAAACAGGAAAGAAGGATTGCATCATTAGGTCTGTTTATAGAATCTAGAAAGCTGGGATCGGTAGGACCTCAATAGGTCATCTAGTCCAGTCCCCTACACTAAGCCAGGACTAAGTATTATGAGCAATGGACAAGCATTGAGCAATGTTTTATCAGAGCACCATGGCGGGAGATGATAGTTCTGAGGTATCTGAGGAAATGTCCGTTCCTCTTGGCAGGAAGCTTTATATTACAGGGAAACCTCAAAAATAGTTCTTGAGTACACTTTCAGCTATTAGTGAATGTTCATACATGCACATGGAATCAACAGTTTGACTCCCTTCAAGCTGGGTGGGAATATTTGCAATCACGTTTTGTTCTTGAAAAGAGGAGGTGGCATCACTGTTCTCCACTTTTTCCCAACCCCGTCCTCCTTATGCCAGTGTTACATAATTTAAGAAGTGGATTCTTTCTTTTCACTCCCCGTTCCCAGCAGGCTGTATGATGACTGCATTCCCCCTTCCCTCACCGCAGTGGCGTTCATTAATGTCATTAGCTCCTTCGCCAGAGCAGTTTGATGTTGATTTGACAAAGGAGATAAATCAAACTACAGAGCTTTGTGCCAATCTTCAGTTGCGTTGTTTGCTCTGGCAGCCATGTAGCTGAACCCTTCACCCCAACAATAACCTCCCTTCCCAAACTGCAACTGAAATCTCCTGCCCAAGTGGAGACGTTCCTGCATTGGCAGGTGCCTTTTTTGTACTAAGTGTTACAGATGTTTTATTCCTGAGACGAACTTTGCCTTACACTTCATTTCTCCAGCAGATGAAAGAGAGAGCTACCCTGTAGAGTTATTACTTTCTCTCCCTGTCCTTGCTAGCTGTCATTCACTCTGTCTTCTTTCTAAAATGATTGGAAAAAGAATCTATGGCATTCTACACCTGGACCATTTGATTGTTTCCTTATTTTGAAATTGGTGTATATCATGCAGCCTTGCAGACATATGTCTTGTGTGTACATATATTAAAAAAAATCAGTGTTTAAATAAAAATGGCCTATGTACTTAATCCTCTAACTCTGCAGCAGCATTTGGTAGATAGTAATTAACTGTGAATAATAAATATACAATGAATTCTTCACTTTAGCATCTGTCTGTTATTTCCATTAACTGAGCAAAACATCAGCCAGTCAAACTAATTTATAATGTGTAAGTCAGTGACAAGGAGGAGATGGATAAATTGAGAACAGCATAGCCTCCTGGGTTCATAGAGGTCCTGTCTGCTGCTTGCAGACATGAAAAATCCTTTGTCCATTATCTGAAGGGTAGGTGGAGCCTAGATGTTTCTTTGTTCCTTGCTTAAAACTTTTTATTGATCTCCACAAATGGGCATGAATTGCTGACATGAAGGAAGGAATCATTGGATGATTTGGTGTATCCAGTCTGACTTCTGTCTGATAGTTTCCAAGTAGTTTATTGCTCCTCTTTTATTGAAGGACAAAGTGGGGGAAGGAGAGACTGGAATCTGATTTCTGAGGACAGCATTTGTATTTCCCATTGATAAATGATTTTTTTTTTGCTCAGTTTGCACTTTGGCCTTCCTTATGGATTACATCTAATTGTGTGAGTTGGTTCCAAAGCACTTTGAAATGAGACAAGAATTAGGGATATAAAACATTGTTTAAAATGTTAACCAGTTAAACTATAGATTCAACTGCTTAACTGCTTGCCACACGGCATGGTGTGCCTGGTTGGGCTGGAGCACCCCCTGCCTGGGCCTGGCTCCCAGGAACCCTGTAAGGCTGATGCTTACCGAGTAACCAGTTACCCATTTATACCCTAACCAGAATGGCTTGCCTGGATCATGCCAATAAGCTATATCAATGCAGTGGTGGAAATGGGCCTTGAAAATCTGTCTCCATCAATATCAGTTGTATGACTTTCCTATAGCCCCCTTACTCTGTGTAGATAATGTTCATACATTCCATAGTGGGGTTTAAAGCATAATAATTGAAAGGCTGACTGACACATGAGTTCCTTTAATTATCAAAGAAAATCCTTTTTAGACTAGGAATTCTTTCACCACATCTGTTCTGGAGACTGTCTCTGGCAATATCTAAATTGTCTAGTGAAAATTTTTCATTGTTCTGTGGTGTTATGGTCTTTATCTTCTGTTGAAAGTTTAGAAAAATTCCTTATGGCTTTAAAGGAATCTAAACACATTTATCATTTTATATGGTCGTGTAATAATAATAATAATGGTGGGACTTGTTTCTTGATTTTCATTAAAAAATCCCTTATAAGTAATGTGTATCTCTAAGGCTATTGCTTCCAGGTGCACATACAACCACCACCATTGGTGCACACCCAAACACCACCTTCTGACAATGCAAATATCAAAATTAGGATTAAAGATCTCCATGTTATGCTTATTATTATAAGTAGCACACACAATCTTTTCCGGGGGAAAAGGCAGTACGCTACATTTCTTTTTTGGGCGATGTCCCCATGAGTGCTCTACTGTTGGTAACGGGTCATCCCCAGAGCCACAGTTTGGAGCTTTTTCTCTAGTAGTTTACTGTCAGGACGCGCGTGCACAGGAGGCGACTAGTGGTTTGACAGCGGCCTCGCGTGCAGCTCGACCCCTCCCTTCAGTTCCTCTCTTACTGCTCTTGGTCGCAGACAGAGTTCCTCAGCTGTCTCTCTCCTCAGGGAAGAAAAACAACAAATGGTCTGGTAGCATTTTATAGACTAACAAAACATGTAGATGGTATCCTGAGCTTTCGTGGGCACAACCACTTCTTCATATGACCAGATTTGAGAGTTTGGGATGTGTACACCCAAAATAGTGTGATTTGGAACTACAGAGCTTTGTGCCAATCTTCAGTTGCGTTGTTTGCTCTGGCAGCCATGTAGCTGAACCCTTCACCCCAACAATAACCTCCCTTCCCAAACTGCAACTGAAATCTCCTGCCCAAGTGGAGACGTTCCTGCATTGGCGGGTGCCTTTTTTGTACTAAGTGTTACAGATGTTTTATTCCTGAGACGAACTTTGCCTTACACTTCATTTCTCCAGCAGATGAAAGAGAGAGCTACCCTGTAGAGTTATTACTTTCTCTCCCTGTCCTTGCTAGCTGTCATTCACTCTGTCTTCTTTCTAAAATGATTGGAAAAAGAATCTATGGCATTCTACACCTGGACCATTTGATTGTTTCCTTATTTTGAAATTGGTGTATATCATGCAGCCTTGCAGACATATGTCTTGTGTGTACATATATTAAAAAAAATCAGTGTTTAAATAAAAATGGCCTATGTACTTAATCCTCTAACTCTGCAGCAGCATTTGGTAGATAGTAATTAACTGTGAATAATAAATATACAATGAATTCTTCACTTTAGCATCTGTCTGTTATTTCCATTAACTGAGCAAAACATCAGCCAGTCAAACTAATTTATAATGTGTAAGTCAGTGACAAGGAGGAGATGGATAAATTGAGAACAGCATAGCCTCCTGGGTTCATAGAGGTCCTGTCTGCTGCTTGCAGACATGAAAAATCCTTTGTCCATTATCTGAAGGGTAGGTGGAGCCTAGATGTTTCTTTGTTCCTTGCTTAAAACTTTTTATTGATCTCCACAAATGGGCATGAATTGCTGACATGAAGGAAGGAATCATTGGATGATTTGGTGTATCCAGTCTGACTTCTGTCTGATAGTTTCCAAGTAGTTTATTGCTCCTCTTTTATTGAAGGACAAAGTGGGGGAAGGAGAGACTGGAATCTGATTTCTGAGGACAGCATTTGTATTTCCCATTGATAAATGATTTTTTTTTTGCTCAGTTTGCACTTTGGCCTTCCTTATGGATTACATCTAATTGTGTGAGTTGGTTCCAAAGCACTTTGAAATGAGACAAGAATTAGGGATATAAAACATTGTTTAAAATGTTAACCAGTTAAACTATAGATTCAACTGCTTAACTGCTTGCCACACGGCATGGTGTGCCTGGTTGGGCTGGAGCACCCCCTGCCTGGGCCTGGCTCCCAGGAACCCTGTAAGGCTGATGCTTACCGAGTAACCAGTTACCCATTTATACCCTAACCAGAATGGCTTGCCTGGATCATGCCAATAAGCTATATCAATGCAGTGGTGGAAATGGGCCTTGAAAATCTGTCTCCATCAATATCAGTTGTATGACTTTCCTATAGCCCCCTTACTCTGTGTAGATAATGTTCATACATTCCATAGTGGGGTTTAAAGCATAATAATTGAAAGGCTGACTGACACATGAGTTCCTTTAATTATCAAAGAAAATCCTTTTTAGACTAGGAATTCTTTCACCACATCTGTTCTGGAGACTGTCTCTGGCAATATCTAAATTGTCTAGTGAAAATTTTTCATTGTTCTGTGGTGTTATGGTCTTTATCTTCTGTTGAAAGTTTAGAAAAATTCCTTATGGCTTTAAAGGAATCTAAACACATTTGTCATTTTATATGGTCGTGTAATAATAATAATAATGGTGGGACTTGTTTCTTGATTTTCATTAAAAAATCCCTTATAAGTAATGTGTATCTCTAAGGCTATTGCTTCCAGGTGCACATACAACCACCACCATTGGTGCACACCCAAACACCACCTTCTGACAATGCAAATATCAAAATTAGGATTAAAGATCTCCATGTTATGCTTATTATTATAAGTAGCACACACAATCTTTTCCGGGGGAAAAGGCAGTACGCTACATTTCTTTTTTGGGCGATGTCCCCATGAGTGCTCTACTGTTGGTAACGGGTCATCCCCAGAGCCACAGTTTGGAGCTTTTTCTCTAGTAGTTTACTGTCAGGACGCGCGTGCACAGGAGGCGACTAGTGGTTTGACAGCGGCCTCGCGTGCAGCTCGACCCCTCCCTTCAGTTCCTCTCTTACTGCTCTTGGTCGCAGACAGAGTTCCTCAGCTGTCTCTCTCCTCAGGGAAGAAAAACAACAAATGGTCTGGTAGCATTTTATAGACTAACAAAACATGTAGATGGTATCCTGAGCTTTCGTGGGCACAACCACTTCTTCATATGACCAGATTTGAGAGTTTGGGATGTGTACACCCAAAATAGTGTGATTTGGAACATCAGCCACCAAATCAAAAGGTCATTTGACTGCACATCCAGTGATCTGATCTATGCCAGCAGTGCCCCACTGCTTTATATATTGGACAAACTGGACAGTCTCTGCAGGAAAGAATCAATGGGCACAAATCAGATATACGCAAAGGAAACCTACAGAAATGTATTGGAGACACTTCAACCTTCTAAATCACACTTTGAAAGATCTCCAAGTAGCTGTCTTGTCACAAGCCAGTTCTACAAGCCAGATCCACAGGGAAGCATTTGGAATTAGAGTTCATCCACAAATTCAATTCACATGCTAATGGACTCAATCATGATGAAAGTTGGCTGGGACACTACCAATTTAACAGAGGTGCAAACAGCTCTCTGTGTTATATCCTTCCTGACATGGGAGTCTGTCTATTGACTTTGATTTGTATCTGCTTCGACTCAATCATGATGAAAGTTGGCTGGGACACTACCAATTTAACAGAGGTGCAAACAGCTCTCTGTGTTATATCCTTCCTGACATGGGAGTCTGTCTATTGACTTTGATTTGTATCTGCTTCTGTTTAACTATCCAATCTTCAGATACTTACTGATGCTCTGTCTCCCATCCCCCTCCATTTTTCTTCCCTCCCCCCTCCTATTTATTTCAGGTGTACACATCCCAAACTCATAACTCCAGTCATCTGAAGAAGTGGGTTGTGCCCATGAAAGCTCATGATACAATCTACATGTTTTGTTGGTCTTTAAAGTGCTACCAGACAATTTTTATTTTTTTTCTGTAACAGACTAACTCGGCTACCCCTGAAGCATGTCTCCTCAGAATAGTGATAGAGATGTAGCCGTGTTAGTCTGGTGTAGCTGAAACAAAATGCAGGACAATGTAGCACTTTAAAGACTAACAAGATGGTTTATTAGATGATCTTTCGTGGGCCAGACCCACTTCCTCAGATCAAATAGTGGAAGAAAACAGTCACAACTATATATATCGTATATATGGTTGTGACTATTTTCTTCCACTATTTGATCTGAGGAAGTGGGTCTGGCC